CAAATTGTCTGCTCAAACAAAGTTGAGCCTATTGCAGGGCTGGCTTGAGCAAAGTTAATAGCAGCTCTGGAGGGACTGGAAACCACTTTGTTGGATTAAACAGACCTGCCTATTTCAGTCTACTGTGCTAAGATATAATTTAAAACTTTGAAACCAGAGAAGCAAAATCATCCCTTTTGGTTTTATTTCTTGTGCCGATCTCTACTCTCAGGTACTGGATTTGGACATCTGATACAGCAGAAAATGCATTTCTCTTTCCAAATGAATTAATGCTGCTCTTTTGAGATTATTTACACCCTTTTCTTTGTCTATAGATATTTAATTTTCTTTCTATCATGTAATTGCTAGAATGTATTTTAATTTAAAGTTGTATGTGCTAGTCTAACCCATGTATCTTAATCCAAGAAAATCCTTTATTTTTTAGAAAGTTGCAAAGTTAACATGGATTAGGACTATCAACTCCATCAGTTTTCTATCTCTTCAAATCTAATAAGAAATGACTTGAACTATTCTATCCCAATCTCAACAGGGAGTATCAAGGGAAAAGCTCACAGCAGTGCAGTGCTATCACAGTGCATGCCAGCTCCACAGCCAAAAGGAAAAGATGATCCAGCAATGATTAAGAGTTTTTCCTAGATTACTGTGCAGGAAAGTATGCTCAGCAACAACTTCTTTGTATTTAAACTCCAGAATGGGCATCCCACCAAGGTGCACAAATCTACTCCACATGGAAAGCTACTAGTATTTCAGGCATAAAAACTGGTTTTGTGGTTGGTTGTTTTTTTTTTAGGCTATCTTATCATTATTACTATAAAGTAGACACTGAAAGTATGAGAAGTTCAAAATCTGCTACTAAAGATTTGTATTCATGGTGTTGTGATAATACATGAGCACTAAAAGAGAAAAGTGTTATTGCTATTTTTTAGCCACTGCTCTTGTATTGCCTTGATGCTTTTACCAGAAGGAAGGTGCTTATTTTCTCACGTCTGTGTTTAGGAAGCATGCCTTTAAAAAAGTTTACACAGCTATAGACAGGAGAATGAAACCCTTTGCCATGTTCTCTTTGCAGACACAAGTTAGAGGAAACAGGTAGAAAGGGTAAGTGAAGCCCAGAAAGCGTTGAGGTATAAGAGGTTAGCTCAGTGGGAGGGTTTTGCTGTTTCCACAGTGAAATGCAATTGTTCTAGCCGAGACACAGGCTGGACCGTGGTAGAAACAGGTTCCCAACTAGATCTCCAGGTTCACAGGGGAATCCTCTAACCATCCTTTGGTTTTCTCTTTGCATATGAAGGGCTGGAGATCAATGTCAGTTAAAAGGGAAAAAACCTAGAATCCTAGAAGAGTTTGGATTGGAAGGGACCTTAAAGCTCATCCAATTCCAACCCCCTATAAAAGGCAGGAATATTTTCCACTAGTTGGTTGTCTTTTAATTGTCATTTTAATTTCATTTTAAATTAGTTTAGTTAAACAATTAATAGTACTTTAAAAACCATGTCCTAGCCAAACTAATTTTACTAGTGCATAGTAGTTTTAATTCCACTGTAAGAAAGCAAGAGAACTTCTCTGACCCAGAAACAGCTACACTGTCACCAGCTTTCCATTATTCAAATAGTGCTTTATTCATTGTATTTATCTGCTTCATCAGAGAGAATTCTTGCTTGGCCTTAACTTACTGTTTCACTAATTTACTTTAGAATATGAAGTTTCACTTAATAAGCCAATTCAAACCAACATTCCTCAGCAAGCAAACGAACAAGGAACAAGTTAATGGGTAAAAGGCTTTTCCTTTTCTGGTGATACCATTTGATGTAGATTTCATAAGTAAATCCCCTAACTAAGAGGGGAATGTTAAGGAGGGTACTACTTCAATCATCCTCAAGTAAGTTCTGCCTCTTAGGACATTAGGGAACAGTTTGTGTGCATTGATGAAAACTTCTCTTATGCCACAAAAATCACAGCCAGAAAGAAAGCAGCAAATTGTAGTTTAAGTGTAGAAAGAACTAAAAAGCACAAATCTGTGGAGAAAAGATAGAACCATATGGAATTATTCATTATAGAATCATAGAACAGTTAGGGTTGGGAAGGACCTTAAGATCATCCAGTTCCAACCCCATGTTTTAAACACTGCTATTCTCACAAGGTTCACTTTACATTCACATTTGATAATTTTAAACGGATCATGTGGGAATAAGCCATGGTATCAGCATGGAAATTACTTTCTGCGGTTCTTAAGAAAGGCTTATAACAAGTGGCTCTTTCTGAAGCTGAGCAGAAGAGTTTGTGCCCTCACAATGTGCTTTCTCAATTATTCAGAACAGAAAACACGAAGCAGCAACCTAATATCTGTATTCATAGTTTTGATAATATTGATTGTAAGGGGAGAGTGTTCTGGTGCTTCATGAGATTCCAAATGAGCTTTGAAGGTCTTGTAGCAGAACCGTGCAAATACTTTTGATGGAGACTCTACCACCACTGCAACAAAACTAAAGCAAAAGATCTGGGTTCATTTCACAAATGTGCACACTCAAAAAGGAAGAAAAAAACCCCACCTCAAAATTAAACCTAAAATGCCCTTTCTGAATATTTTTCTTCCACATTAGAAATGTATCATGTTAAGTGCATGTGTGTTTCCAATCACCATACCACCTGTAATTTTTACTGTATTTATGCTTATGGCTGCCAGTCAGAATAAGAAAAAGTATCGTTTCATCTCTTCCCAGAAGGCAAACAAGGAAATGAGCCATTTGTCTGAAAGAAAAATCTATGGTAAAGCAGGAATCTGAACCTGGGTCTCATGCAAAGCAGCCCAGCATCCTAACTGGGGACGTTACTGTGCTCCATACTAAGAAGTTTCAGCTTCAGGAATTCTCTGGGAGATGGTTTTGTCTTGTAGAAGCCTGTTTTATCCTACAGCTGCTTTTTTAACTTACGACTTACTGACATCAATTGCCTATCAAATAAGTACCACTGTGAACTCATGAATAAACACAGTTATCATTTACATATTAACAGAGGCCCTTTAGCTGAAAAGAATCCATTAGCGCTACTGCAATATCTTAATTATTTACTGTGTTCTATTGTAATTAATTGTATTTTAGTCTCTCAAAACTCTATAGTATGTGTATCTTATGGGGTTTGGAACCAGTGCACTAATATTACAGTGGTAATCAACACTGCTTCTAAATATTCATGTCAATAAATAACTCCCATGTGTTTGCCAAATGCCAAGGATAGTGTGAAGCATTTATTTGCCATTCTGGTGGGATCTAGTTCCTGCAGAGTGCATAGACGCAGAATTTCAATAGTATTGCCATTGTGCATAGAGGATGAAAATACCTTTTCATTTGCACAAGCAGTGGAGCAGGACACTTAGAAGAAGGTGATAGTACCTCAGTCACAATCTGTGCTTAATCATACCTGAGAGCAATGGGGAGATGTCAGGTCTTTTTCTTCTTTATAGCAAAATCACTATTTTGTTTAGTCTACGACAGCCCTCTCGTAAGTTCACTTTTTAACAAATATCTTCAATTTTCCGTGTCATTTAAACCCCATTGCATTGCATGGGCGGGGTGCTCCGACTGTCACGCAGCCCGGGCTGCAGTAAGGCACCGCTGTAGCAATCACATATTCAGACACATTTCTCAATAAATCAGTTAAGTGCTATAACCTGAAAATGGTCCTGCTTCAGATCTGCAATTGGCTGACATAAATCTTGAGGAGAATGCATTGCATGTGCAGAGGAACAACCGAGCTACTGTTGGAATTTCAAAACAAGGAAATTGTGTCTCGCAATCCAGTAAGTTTGTTTAATGAAATGTAAGTTAAGTGTAAATAGTCTTAAAAATATATGAGTTCAGCCTTTTGGAGTAAGGGTAACTTATTGTAAACTGGGCTTTCTTGTTTGAAGCAGAGTATTAAGAGCCTGTGTAGGTGCACTGCCCCTTTCTGCAAACAAGTGTTGGAGCCTCCACTCCCTTCTGCCTCTGAGGGTGACTAAATCATAGAATGTGTTGGAAGGGACCTTAAAACTCACCCAGCTCCAAACCCCTGCCATGGGCAGGGACACCTTCCACTAGAGCAGCTTGCTCCAAGCCCCATCCAACCTGGCCTTGAACACTACCAGGATCCCAGACTTTTCTGCTGCTCTTCCACATCTTCCAAAAAATTAGTGGATTTACCTGCAGATGCTTGAGATGAAAAAGAACTTGTTCTATAATCAGGGGAACAGCAATATGGAGATCACATGCAGTCATGATGGTGCTGAAAATGCAATCCAGATGTCCTGATCCTTGCTCCATGCTGTCGTGCAACTGGGAATTCTGTGTGCTTTGCTATTGATGTCTTGTTTAGAAAATTCTCTTAAATACTTCTATACATGCAAATACTTTGCCTGTTGTTCTCATGGAGATAGTTGATCATACTGTTGACCTTATTTCTAATTCCTCCAATGCCAATTCTTTTATTTTAAGCTAAAACTTAATCATAACTTATGAAAAAAAATAAAATATATAATAAAATATTTAGCTGCTTATAGGGAATAGTTCAGTGTACTTGTACTTTAGTTTCTATGATAGTCTTAGTTCTACATGCAAATATTTAGCATGCTCAGCCTTAAGGGAAAAAGCATTTCTGCTGTAGCCACCCTGCTGACTGTGATCACAGAACTACAAGCCTGCCCTTGATGCAGGAGGGATTAGCTTTGAACATGAATGTCTTAAGCTGAAAATGGTCACAAAAAGCCCAAACCTGAGTACTTGTAGCTCACTTAATATAAATTGAAGAGGAAGACTGAGAATCAATAAGATGTTATATTTGTATTTAATGTAGCTTTGTTGAAAGTGGTGGATAAAGAGCTGTGATGCCATAAAATCTTCTCTTTGTACCTGCTTGCTCCTACCAGACAGGGCCTGATCCTGCAATGGCAATGTGTACCCAGCATCTTGGGTACAAGATGATGGGCTCTGGGTTTGGCTTCAAGCAACTCTGTTTTCCTTTTTCAGAATCACCCAGCACTGCTGCAGTTTGTAATACAAGCCGAAAGCAAACACCTAGTCATCAATCTGGAGAGGAATGAGTAAGTACCCTTGTTGCATGTTCACTTTTTGTACTGGAGGCTCTCAGAGAAGGGTTGTAATTTAAAATTGATGGTTTGAAAGCAACCTGGGGGCAAGTTTGTTACTCATGGAAAAGAACCCTAAGAGTGAGCTCTAATCTAGTGTGTATTTGCACACTGCTTATAGGGCAAAAATCTCTATGGTCAGCTGCATTTATGTGGGACTGAAAATGGACATGTTGCCTCTTGGTGTTTCTTGTTGATCATTATTTTTATTTGATTTGGATTTGTTCTCCTTTACTTTGGTAAGCCCTTTTATTTACAGTAATGTGGAAAATCCTACAGTCTTTGGGACTTACTCCTCCTAGCTTTTTGACTATGGTTGCCTCCGTATGCGGCCATTGACGTCTGCTCAGGAAAAACAAGTCAAGCATTTGGGTTTAACCTCCTTTTCAACAGGAGCTCTCTGAGTTTGCTGGCAAAGGGGTGGTTAAGGGATAGTTGTGCTGTTCACAGGATCCATAACCAAAGCCGAGCCTGAACCAGCTGTGGGCTGTAGCTATTGTGTCTTCTTCCATGTGCTCTTCACAACTCCCACCTATGTGCATCAGCTTTCAGAGGGGGATACCAGGGGCTGATGCAGAGGTGGTCCCACAGACAGAAACCCTGCAGTTTTTACAGAGGGGTACAGATCCATACAGAAATGAAGTCACTTCCCTGGAAGTACATGACAAATAGAGCCAAAGTCATCAAAGTCTTAATCTACCTTCTCAAACTGCTTTTCCCCTAAGAGCATCTCAAGAATATATTGTGGGAAACCAGATCGGGACAAGTATGTGGTGCCTGTCAAAGGAAAAGCAAAGATCAACGCAGAGAAAACTTTATGAATGTCAGCCAGGATCTTTGTGTTCTGTAGGTTTCCCTGCTGTGAAATCAAAGCAGCAGAGAGATTTTTTTACTGTAATAGAGACCATAGACGTAAGTGCTGCAGCTTTGTAAGTTAACAGGAAGGAATCTGCACGTGAAAGCAAATGTCCAAGGGAGGCCAAGTACATGCTGCCTCGGGCCAGTGATGGACAACTTCAATGGAATTGTATGGGGCACCTCTTTAGGCCTCTGCAATAAAACAACACAAAATTCTTTTTATTTCCAGTTTTTTGGATGAACCCCAACGTTACCCAGCTGTGATAAAGCCCAGTTCACTTTATTATTCATCATCAGGCCCAAATCTTCATCATTCTTTACATTATTTTTAATGCTCCTTAGTTGTTCATTTCCTATTCTTGAGGGGTGTATAGATCCCCCATGCATAGGTTGCTTTGTTTCAGTAATGAGAGGGGTATTTAATTCCTTTAGTAAACAGGGATTTAACTTTATATTCTCTTAATCTTTGTCAAAGGGTGTGCCTTCCTTCAGGAATGGGAAGTATGCAGCAATTGAGGAAACTATTTACATTCCATGTCAGCGATTAAAAGAACATAAAACTGCTAATACAGGCTGTGCTGAACATACCCACCTCTCTTGCACCTGTAATAAAGTCAGATTTAGAAAACAGTAAGATGCAATCTCCACCTTTTTTAGAAGTAGGACATGGAAGTAGAATACATTAACTCTATGGACATCTGTCTGACTAATCAGATTTGGAGATGTTGAGAAAAATATGGTATTTATCAGTTATTATTTTTTAGTTGACCTATCTCTGTGTCAGGCTGTCCACCTGAAGATTCACATTCTAGAAGAGCTGTGTATGGTGTTAACAACATGAAGTTCCTCATCTTAGCAGGAGCTTCTAAGTAATAGTGAAAAAGAATGTTCAGGTGAGAGGAGAGAATGGATTTCTGCAGAGCAGAGGATGGGGAATAACGGTGGGTGGCAGCAGGATAGATTGGGTCTAAGGTCCAATCTCCAGAGGATGAAAAGGCCATCAGCTATCTGGAAAAGGGAGCAGTCCTTCCACGCAGCAGGTCCTAGTGAGGACCAGCAGATGTACATACAGACCCTATCTCCGGCCTGCTCCATCTTCCTGATGGCATGAAACATGCAACTCAAATATCCTGAAAGCATCGATGCTGAACATTGGAGTAACCATTAAATCAGCATGCTTCAGGCAGAAGTGCTAAACACAAGCATCTTTTCTTGAGTAATAAGTGACAACACATATGAAGCCCTGATAAGTATGCAGTTATTTTACTGTAATATCATGTCAAACATGTTATTCCTTGGAGAATGATGGGGGTGGAGGTAGATAGAACCCCCAAAATACGTAATTTCTGCATTGGGTCATGCATAAAAAAACTGGATATGATTTTCCATGGTTAGTAGAAACAGCTGCTTTGAGTAGTCTTGACATGAAACTCTATTTCTTGAAAACCTTAGAGATTTTCCAAACCTTGAGTTGTATTTCGAAACATGATTCAGATGCATTAGGCAGCCCCAAGTGGGGACTGATGTGTTAAACCATCTGTTATCTATGGAAATGTTTAATGTCAGTTTGGTGTTTTCTGATATTTAGACTCAGCAAGATGTGTTCACATGTACTGGGCAAGTTACTGTAAGTTAGTTCTGGGAGAGTTGCTGATACCTAACTTCACAGCTTAGGGTTTAAAGTCTTTTCTATGGTTTCCAGCTGTTAGGATTACTTTTGTGCATATTCATTAAATGCTCTAGTGATTAATTTTCAGGCATTGCACATCTGTAATTGGAAAACCAAAGTTATTTGCCATGAACTCTATTTATCAATTGTAGAAAACCTGCCAGGGAGCTTCTGTTGCAAGTACATTTCTTACTATGATTTAGGTGCAAAATATGATTGCACTCTCAAGAACCTTACGCTCTGTAGTACCTTAAATGTTTTAGAAACACTTGTCACATGGAGAGCTTTCCAGAACCAGCAAATCATCCATCAGCTGAAGAGTAAACCTCTCTTTGGAGCAGCTGACTGTACTGGTGTGCGTTACATCAATACAACCGATGCACTTCTGTTGTGCAAGGGAGGTTGATGTATGCATGTAGAAATGACTTAAAGTTGATTGCAGCATGTGGGTCTTGCAAGAAAGTAGGCTTACTATTGTGTAAATGACAGAAAACCCCTTCAAGATTACATCTGAGTTGGAGAGCGGAACAGTATGTGACTACTGGCCATTTTTCTGCAACTGGAAGCATTTTACACTCTGTCAGAAATAGGTCTGTGTACAGCAAAGTCCTGAAGTGTTCAGTTAACTTTAAACATATGAGTAATCCAGGTAAAGCCAGCGGAATGATTTTCAAAGTTAATTTCATGCTTAACTGATTTGCTGACAAAGGTTATAATTATGAATGTCAAAGAAATATAACTTTGAACAGACGTTAGAGAGCTTTTGCTGTGCTGACTCCTGTTTATACCAGAGTCTGTGGCAGATAGAGATAAAAAGAGGAGATAAGTTGAGAGCAGGTGAAGGCATGTATAGAGGTAGGATGGCTTTGCCCTAAGGACATTGCCATTGACAACATCTCAGGTGTGTCCTGGGCAGTTTCCTTCTGGTGGGACTGCTGACCAGCTTTGAGAAAGGAGCAGTAAGGGTGCCGTCAGAACGACTGTGGCTGACCCCACCATTGGTCCATGGCAACATGGAAATGGAATGGACAATCTCAAGTATTTTAGAGAACTAGGGTTCACTGTTCATTTCCCCATTACTTTGTGCTCTTTCTTGCCAGGTTTATAACACAACCTTTAACAAAGCAATATAAAAAGGGGAATATATGAGATTAGGTCGCTGCCTTGTATTCCCTCAGTAAAAATTCTTCTATCTTAGCAGGAAGTAAAATCCACCCCAGGCCATACATGGTGTAAGTCTCCATCTTTTCCTTTAAATCCCCTAGTATCCCAGAGATCTCCAGAAGTTCAGAGCGTCTCTGACTGTCCCCCTTGCATGGTTACTACTTCTACGTGGCGACTCAGTACCAGGGATATATTGGGATGTTATGGTCCGGTATTGAAGGGCTCTTTGTGAGCTTAACTCCAGGACAGAGGAGTTTCCAGAAGCATTCCCTGGGCCTGATAAGCAAGCAATAAGTGTCTTCATGCATAGTGCTAATGTGCCCTGTTCCAGTGAGGTTTTGGTGTTCAGAAATCTTCTGTATTCTTTCTTGGTTAAAAGAAAAGTAGTTTTCTCTTCTTTGCTGCCTGACCTTCCTGAATAGGAGCACTGTTTGGTGTGCAAGTGACATTCTAGCTGGATTAATTTAGCAGGGAAACAGCCCATTGCCAGTGCCAAAGAAAATAGCTGACAAAATTTGTTAATGAATTGACATTCTTATACACAATCAATGGTTTGAAATACAGCTCAAGGAAACAAATCTAAGAACACAAATACCAAATAGAGGAACGGGACCTGTCAGAATATGTTTGCTGTTATAACTGTGTGCTGTAACTTAGCCAAAAAGCTGTGACCCCAGAATGTTTTATCTGCGAATGCTGGAGCTGGCAGCTGTACTGCGACGTTTCAGCATGAGCTGACAGTTGGGATTTCACTTTAATTGAAGTAAAAGTTCCACTTTAATGGAAGTAGCACTTTTCCCCTTCTGTAATAGCAACAGTCAAATGGTCTAAACCACAGCGAAATGTGAAGATTCAGCCACCACAGCTGCAGTAACGTGGTATTAACACATGGCTCTAAGGGTACTGGCGTTTGCTATAGTATTGTGGTATAAGGATGACAAATTTAGTGTGGGCATTGAGGTACCAAGATTTGTTCTATAACTGGGTATTAGCATAGGGATGGTATTAGCAATTGTAACTGAGGTTGTGTGATTGGGGCTACATTTGCCTGTGTCATTTTGGAGCTGTATGTTGGAGTGAAAAGGATCAGCTCCACCAGGATAAAAAACTGCTGCTTTCTTGATCTGTTTTCCTCTCCTTATGTAAATAGAAAACAAAAAAGAAAGGAGCAATGAGAAGAGATGTATACATGCTGACATAATATGCTGGAAGTGGAGAGGATAAAGAGACTGGAATTTATATTCTGGAGACCATCCTGTGGCTG